TTTTTTTAAAAAAAAATTATTTAAAAAATATATTTGATTATTTTATTTGTATGTGTGTATTGCCTGCATGTATGTAAGTGCACACGGAGGTCAGAAGAAGGCGTCAGCATGTGGGTGCTGAGAATCAAACCCAGGTTCACTGTAAGAGCAGCCAGTGCTCTTAGCCCCAAGGTCAGAATTGTTTTTTCCAAAGTGAGTTAAGGAATTTGAGTAGCATCATACAATGGTACCTGAAAAATAACTCCATCATTTTCTTCCTTGTGAATTTAGAATTACAATAAGTGGAGTGAATGTACTTCTTTCAAACCCATATTTAAAGAAGCACATCACATTGTTTTGATTTTGAACATTTCTCTCTCCCAAATGCTTCATAGGATGTTTTGATACCAACTGCACCAAATAGTGCTCTTTCTGCAGCTTGAAAGTTCTCTTAAACATTCAAAATAATTCCTTTGATACAAATATTTTGATCCTTGAAGGCTTTATTAATTCTGATTTTTTTCAGTTTTCCACATTTTGCATTACCACATCTTGCCTATTTCTTCTTCTTCTCAGATCTGTCTTTTACTGAAGTCCAGATCATTTCTTATCTCTATCTTTCATTTCAGCTGGGCCATGATAACAGTTTCTTGACAAGTCTCCAAGACTCCATCCATTTCCCCTACCCAATTCTTGAATCTGCTTGCTGTCAGATGAATGCTTTAACACTTCTCCCAGTCATATTTCAGATTTGTGTTCTGGCAGGCCAAATGTTCTTGCTCTCAGCTAAACAAAACTTGCTTACACTTTATTCAGTATTTACATGCGTTATTCTCTGCGTTTGAGAAATTCACATTTTTTAAAATCACTGTTTTATCTATTCATAACTTAACTCTTGACCAAGTCAGTACTGAATACTTCACATATTTTTATGCATGTACAGTATTAACATCCCTAGACTGGAATGTGCATTAGAAACACTCTTGTCTTCATGCATATGATGTGTAAACTATTTACGAATAGGGATTTCATTTTTAAATTTTTCTATTTTTCTTATTTTATTTAATATATTTTATTACCATTGTTTTCTTTAAGAAGTAGCATGATTACATTAAAATACATTGTATAGGTGGAGAATTTGGAAGGCAAGTCATTGGCAAACTCTTATTATCAGAACAGTGACAAATGTCACATTATTGTTGCATTTTGGTAGTACAGTTTTCTCAGTATTCTATTGTATTTTATCCACTGGCCTATACACAGCAAGCACTCAATTAATACTCCAGATTGACTATAATACCATTGGGAGAAAATGTTGTTGAGTAAACAGTGAACATTTGGAAAAACAAAATTAGATGGGTGTAAGCTCTGATTTAACAGTACATAAACGGAGTGAGGAATAACCTTCTGAAATTGATTGTGGCTGATTTCAGCTATATTTTAAAATGTTTGTAAGTGTATTGCTTGCATGTATGTAAGTGCGCCCATGTCCTGCAATGCCCATGGAGGTCAGAATAGGGCATCGGACATCCTAGAACTGGAGTTATGGACAATTGTTTGCTGGGAACCAAATCTGGATCCTCTGCAAGAACAGCCAGTGCTCTTAACTGCTGACCCATCTGTAGAGCTCCTCAGCTATTTTTAAAATAACCAGTTTGATATGAAAGAGTTTAAAGTGAATGGCAATTGCTTCACCAGTGAGGCTGTGACTTTGTATCAGGCATCATACAACAAAATTGTGTGAGTAATAGAGGAATTGGAGACAGACATTTTTTAACTTTGTCTCCCTCAAAAGAGTAACATTCGCAAGTGTTCAAATTTAACTGATCACTGCAGAGCTATTTTTCTGCCTTAACTTTAGTATGATTTTATCAATTCACTACTTCACCTTGGCAAATGAATACAAGAAGTGTGAAGATTTATATGGTCAATTTTGAGGGTATTTCCCTTGGTCATTTATTTCTACAAAACACCCTGTAAAGGTGAGCTACTTTATCCTCCTCCTCCTCCTCCTCCTCCTCCTCCGCCTCCTTCTCCTTCATATGTCTCTGTGTGTATATTTGTGTTAGTATGGTATATAAACTTGAGTGTGCAAGTGTGGGGCCAGATCAGGATGTTAGGTACCTTCCTCTATAGTTCTCCATCTTACTGCCTTAAGACAGAGTGTCTTATTGAATTCCTAAAGTTTTGGTTAGGCTGGCTGTCCAGCAAACTCTCAGAATCCTTCAGCCTCCACCCTCAATGACTGTCATTGTCATGCACAACCATGCCTGGTATTTACAAATGTGCTGGGGATTTGAACTCAGGCCCTCATGCTTACAAAGGAAAGGTTCTCCCCCAATTCAAGTAATCCCCTAAGCCTGCGAACTAGTTAATTATATCATCTTAACCAAAAATACATAGTCACATTACAGTCTCTTGTGTTAGACTGAAGGCTGTTGACTATTAAGCCCAGCAGATGTCATATTTTTCTAAATTAAACTGATGAGCATGTTGTCCATATCATTGAGCATTGCTTATTCTCAATGCAAAGTTTTCATTTTCAACATATATTTTACTTATTTTTCATTATTATTCGCTTGGCCAGTTCTGATTTCAGAATGTTTCACCTTAAAAAGTCAGTTTTTAGGGGATGGAGAGATGTCTCAGCTGTTAAGAACGCTGGCTGTTCTTGTGGAAGATCCAGGTTTGAAACCCAGCACCCACATGGCAGCTAACAACTGTTTGTAACTCCAGTTCCAAGGGATCCAACAGCCTCTTTTGTCCTCCATGGGCATTACATGACACGGGTTCACTTACCTACATGCAGGCAATACACATATACACATAAAATAAAAATAATAATAAATTTTAAAAAATCAGCTTTGAAGTGTATGCTTCTATATATAATAATCAATTTATTATAAATGCATAAGAACTGGTTGTAAGCATGCTTTCCTAGATTTCCAAAAATCCGTCAGTGAAGAGTTGAAAAGGGAAAAAAATCCCAGTGTAAAAGCCACTGGAATCCTCCTACATTGTGTTCTGGACTAAATACTCATTATACTCTTATGGGCTATATCTTTAAAAAAGTCTCAGATGAAAATTAAATTTTCAATCGCCATCTAGAAATAAATTTTTATAGATAGCATACACATTAGTTCCTGAAAATGGTAGAAAAGGTTTCTTGTCAAGTTCCCCAGCACAAGTGTGAATGCACTGTTTTTGAGTACCTACTAGTAGTGAAAGGACACATTGTGGCCAGCCAACTCAAATTGCTACCCACGTTTAATCATTGTAAATAAAGGAAGCAGAGAGGCCCATGTTATATTTTCAGAACTGGCATGCTCAATACATAACTATTAGTTTAAAAATACAACTGAGCATTCTATTTGAATCTATCTAGAATTCTGTGAAAAATAAAATAGTAAAAAGTACAATTGGCCTCTTAAACGTGTACGACTCATTTCATGCAAATTATTAATTTTGTAATTACACATAGCATTAAAGAACACCCAGAGTAAATACAATTTTGTAACACTTGGAAGAAAACAGTTCAGAATTGATAATATCTCATTTTGAAATGCCTATAGTTTTTACAGAAATCTCCTTTTACAGTGGAAAAAAAAACACGTCTATGAAATACCTACATATGTTTAACAGGACTTTTCCCAAAGACACAACTAATTGTCCCCCTGTGAAATGAACATGTATCATTGATAAACTTTCACATATTTTTGGTGCATACTGCATTTTCTGAACAATTCGATCTAGAAGTCAACGGAGAAACAAGTACTTTAATAGAACTGATGTATCACAGCGAATCAAAAAGAAAGTTTGGAACTAGAGATCAGCTTTGGGTTACACAATTACAAGGGGGCAGGCAACATTTTAATTTTTATACACTCTGTACATTTGTCCTTGTTTACAATTGTCTAATAACTTAAGAACCATTTGTAAATTTTCTGAACCAACTTTGATAAGCAGTTATGCAATTGATCCCCACAATCATCTACATGGAGAGTACACCAAATTGCCAATGATATAAAGTCAAAATCCACAATAACAGCTAAAGTAAGGGTACATTCCTTACAGGAAATCGAAGATAGATTATTCACAAGGATGTTCTGATATGGTACAGTCACAGTCACTATATGAAGTTGGACAAGTTTAGTCTATTAAATATGCTCTTTGAAGCATGGGGAATAGAGCTACTTCTGCAGGAGCCTTGCACACATAGCCAAGCAGATTCATTTTATATACAGAATAGTCTATTTCACAACTACATTGCAGGTGAGAAACTCTGCAACTACTATTCTACCACTAGTAAACTCAGATCACTTAGCACTTCATTTCTGAATATTGTTGTGTTATTACTTCAATTGCAGACACTTGCAGCCCCCCTCTCTCTCTCT